ACAGGCAGCAGAAAATTAAAAGAGTAAATAACCTCTCAGGCTGAAAGGTGGAAAGTGCTGCGAAGAATTGCACAGCAGTACCAGAAGGGGCACCTGAGAACCGGGCAGCTGTGTTTACCGTTTCCAAAGGGGGGTGAACAGAGGCCTCATTAAGAAGGTGGTCTTTGTACAAAGAGGTGAAGGCCCCAAAGCACTGGGAAATCATTTTTCATGACTGCATAGTATGCCATTGATGATATGTGCAAAATGTGTTTAACCAGTGCTCTGCTTATAGATACTTCGCTTGTTTCTAATTTTTCACTGCTATATGAGAGGCTGCAATATAGCCCTGTGTACAACTGGTGAACGTTTGTGGAGTTATTCCCTTGGGAGGAATGCCTAGCCTCTAATCCAAGACCTCTAACCATTTCTAAATCCTAAGACTTCCTGTCACCTGCACTCCAGAAAGACTGCCAGTCAACACCTACAATAACACATCTGAGTTCCCAATCCCACTGCCTTCCCAACACACACTCCCCATCTGTCGTTTATTTTTAATTTTGCTAACTTTGGGGGCAGAGTGTTATGATATTTGTGCTGCTTTTACTTTGCCGTAGTTGGACAGTCTTTCCATTTGCTTGACATCTTTGTGTGCTTTTTCTCTTCTAAGCCCCTTATCCGTTTCCTGTGACCATGTTTTCTATGGGACGTTTGTTGCTTTTGTAAATTGGGAATGTGTATGTTATGTGTTGCCAATATGTTTGCTGGTTTGTCTTCCCACTTTCCTTACAAACATTTAAAATTTTTATATTGACAAAAATAACAGTGTTTTAAAATACTTTCTGGATTCCTATCATGGTTAGAACAGCTTTCCCAACTTTCAGAATTATAAAAATACATCTCCACTCCCTCTGTAGTTTTATTTTTTTCTTTGCACTTAAATCCTTAATTCACTTGGAATTCATTTTGATATAAGAAATAAGGAAGGGCCCAGCCGGCGTGGCTCAGTGGTTGAGCATCGACTTATGAACCACCAAGCGCCTCGCGGCCGCCCCTCAGGACCTCTCGCATATCCTCTTGTGCGCTGTACACACTTCACTGTCAGCAGTTCTTCTGCGTTATCCCGGTCAACCTACGTGCACGATGCTGAAGCACGTGCAGCCGGGCGGGGGGTGAGGCTGAGGGAGGGGGGTCTACATGGACAGCCAGCGGGCCCTGGGGCCGTGGGGGGCTGCGGCCGAGGTGGTGAGAGGTCGTTCGCACCCGGGTCTGCGCAGGCATGCAGGAAGGATGTCTGCTCTCCAAGCCGCAGCTGCAGCTCGCTGTGCTGAGCAGCTCCAAACGCTCTTGCAAATGCAATTCAGATCACCCCTCCATTCACACCTGGGGTTCCGGGGAAGAAAGAAAGGTTGAGAGCCCTCGTGAGCATTCCCTTCTGGGTCCCCCTGGACGCCTCTGCACCCCGGAGCTGAGGCAGCTTCTCTCCCCTGCCCAGGGCCCCTGCCATTGCCCTGGACACAGCCTCCAGCTGGGCCCCCGCTCCACATCACACCCCTCCCTGGCCTGGCCCCCTGCCCCTTGGATTCTGGCTTCAGTCTCTCCTAGTCCCCAGGTATTCCCGCCTCATGAGAATTTTGGTTTCTCTGGCCTCTGAGCCTGTTTTCCCACCAGCCACTATAGAGGCCCGGCCTCCCCTCCCCATTGCAAGGCAAGAAAAATTCCCCTCTGCCCGCAGGTCTCTCGGGGGCCTAAGAACTAAACGGAACATAAGTCAGATTAGCAGGAGGAAAGCAGACTCGTTTTATTGAACTTTCCCATGTGCCTGGGAAGCTTCACAGGAAACCCAACGATGCGGCCGAAGCAGGAAGCCTTGAGGCCTGTAGACAAATAACCTGGGAAGAGCTGGCCAGACAGGGAGGCTGGGGCTCTGGGTGGTGCGTGGGAAAGGAGCGACCAGGTCGGCCTGGTGTGTTTAACGCGGTTTGTTGATGCGGACTTCTCGGCCCTGCATTCCCTGTCTCTCCTGAAGCAGGGAGGGCTCCTCTGACAGGGGACGTAGCTCCTGATTTCAGGAGGACAAGGCGGGTCAGCGTGTGCTTCTTGCACCGGCTGCTTCTTAGGCACCTTTAACTCAAAACAATCAGCATGCCAGTGGCAGGTTTGGGGTGGCACCTTCTGAACCCCTTCCCCATCTTCCCAGGGACACACCTTGCCCGCACCCCGGCCTCAGCCGCAGGGCACCCCCGAGGCCACCTTCCCACCGCGCTCCCAAGATCGTCTGGCTTTCTCAGTTTGTTTGCTTTTAAAAGGCATTTGGGTCACGCAGGACTTACCTGTTCCACCTGCTGGTTCGTTACAGGTGCCAAACGCAAACCTCCATCTCCCCTCCGGTCCCCTCTCCCCGCTCTTTCCCACGCAGCGCCCTCATCACGGTGCCCTCGGCCCACGCGTGTCAGTGCTGCTGCCCATAAAGTGAAAGATGAGGCTCGATTTCATTCCAGACGCAAACTGCATAATGGCTCAGACACAGTCACTTCTTTTCTGGTTTCTAGTTGGATGGCAGCTCTGCCACGAGCACAGGCCCCAGGCCCCTCTACTCCCCATGGAAGGGCATGGGCACAGGGGGGCACAGACACTCTTTAAGGGCAGAAGGGGGTTCAGCCCGCGGCCACCCCTCAATGCGGAGGAGGCCAGGAACTGTGCTCAGTCCCGAGCTAGCAGAGGGGGGAACAGGTTTGGAGGCTCACTGGCAGCTCCCGGGACTGTCCAGAGCACTCACCCCACTCACTCTAACTGTTCACACAGGCCCCCCAGCTCAGAAGGCCCGGCTGGAGCTTGAAGTGACAGCTGAGCCAGGAAAGGGGGGAAAGCAGCTTCACTGTGGGTGGCGGGGGCGGGCGTGGACTTCCTCCCTGACATTTAAAGTATGAATCTCGCTGAAGACTTAAAAAGCAGCTAATCTGACAAGCCCCCTTCTCCATGGAAGGGCTCCGGGAGACGAGGGCGCGGGTGGCTTTGCACCATCAGGAGCTTAGCACCTGGGTCAAAGCAAGGCACTCGCCAGGTCTACAGCAAAGGCCTCCCATCTGCCGGGGTGTGAGCCAAGAGCTGGTCCCACATGAAGCTATATTTTGAGACTCCCACTCGGGGCAAAACCAACAGTGAGACCTCAGCTGTGACTCCTCGGGGCCACAATCATTGTGCTTTGTAGGAGTGTTGTCAGTGAGAGGGACGTCACCCGCACATCCATCTAGATTCTCCACTCACCTCCACCCCGTCCCAGCCTCAGCTGCTACCCTCTCACTCGTGTCCTGATATCTGTTCCAAGAAGGAGGAAGAGGAGGAGGGGGAGAGGAGGAGGAGAAGAGTGAGAAGAAGGAGGAGGAGGAGGAGTGGGAGGAGGAGGAAGAAGAGGAGAAGGAGGGCCGGGATCTAAAAGTCAAAGTTGCCAAACCCAACCGTCTGCTCTACAGACCAGATGGGCCTCTTCCGGGGGCTGAAATATAAGAGCAGACCTAGGCCACTGATGTCACGTTGGCACCACCCGAGTCCCACCCCCAGCTGTTTCCTTAACCAGATGAAGGTTTTCTTGACAGACTGCCTTTCTCTGTGGTTAAACAAGGGGACAAACCGTAGGTGCCATGGACAAAACGCATGACAGAGTCAACGGACACAGAAGGAGAGCCTGGGGGAAGAAACGGCTCATAAGCCCCTTAGGGAGCTTGGAAGGTATTGGCTGAGCAAGTAGCTGCGCACAGTGGCTTCTATGTGTGTGGTAACAGCAGCCGTGCCAGACTTCCCCTTGCACGCAGATTCTAGGAGAGTTTTCCTAATGCATGAGTAACTGCCGATTCTACCAATGCTTTCATCACAGGGCCTTCAGCAAAACATAGCCACACGCCAGGACTGCAGATAGTCCATGTGGAGGCAGCAACCAAATCGAATGTGTAAACACTCAAAAAAGAGATTCCCCCACACTTTTTTAACCTTGGCATGAAATCAACCAACAAAAACCAGACCTTTTTTTTAAACTCTGAAATCTGAGTGACAATGTAAAGATCTTGCCCTAAACATAAGGAAAGTAGCAAAGGAACAATTTAGTTGAAAGGAAATGTATTACGTGTCGGTTCCAAGCAGGTATGTGGTTTCATCCAACTACAACCCCATGAGTTGGGCATCTTGATCACCACTTGGTAAATGTGAAAACTGAGGCTCAGTGAATTCGGATAGTGTGTTGGTCTCCCTGGGCTGCCATAACAGGGCACCAGAAACTGGGAGGCTTAAACGACAGAAATGTATTTTCTCACAATTCTGAGGGCTGGCAAGTGGAGATCGAGGTACCAGCAGGGTTGGTTTCTGGGGACTCCGGTTGGCCTGGGAGACCTCTGCTCCTGGCTGACAGATGGCCGCCTTCCCACGGCCCTCACATGTCCTTTCCTCCAGGTACACATCCTGGTGTCTCCTCCTCTTCTTATGAAGACACCAGCCCTGTAGAATTAGGGACCCACCGTATGACCTCATTCAACCTTACTTACCTCCCGAAAGGCCCTCTCTCCACATTTGTGGGGCAGGGAGAGCGGGGCGGGGAAGTGATATAAAAAATAGCACGTCCAAGAGCCCACATTTGCTAAGTGGAAGAGCGGAGATTGTCCGAATCCTAACATCTCCTTATCTGCAGTGTGCAGCTCCCTGCCATGGCGTCTCAGGTGAAGCGGGAGACCCCTGGCTGAGAGCTGACTCTCAGAACTTGCTGGGCAGGAGACGCTTTCACAGCCGGGAGCTCTGTCTGCTGGGAAGGGGGGTGACGTCCCTACACAAAGGTAGACGGCAGAGCACAGAGTCCAAGTCAACTCGGGGCCTGTCCAGACGATGCCACATAAAACTCGCTCTGTCTACTTTGTGAATAGCTACACAAATGGTGTTTGGTTTGACGTTCATATCCCGCACACGGTGTGGTTTCCATGATCCCCTAAGAGCCAGCATTTCATTCGGTCTTTCTTTTCTTTTCTCCAAACCACCAGCTAACGTCCTGGAGGGCGACTCCATGGACCAGGACGTGGAGAGCCCCGTGGCCATTCACCAGCCAAAGTTGCCTAAGCAGGCCAGGGACGACCTGCCGAGACACATCTGCCGAGACCGGACCAAAAGGAAAATCCAGAGGTACGTGCGGAAGGACGGGAAGTGCAACGTGCACCATGGCAACGTGAGGGAGACCTACCGCTACCTGACTGACATCTTCACCACCTTAGTCGACCTCAAGTGGAGGTTCAACCTGTTGATCTTCGTCATGGTTTACACAGTCACATGGCTCTTTTTTGGGATGATCTGGTGGCTAATAGCGTATATCCGAGGAGATATGGACCACATAGAGGACCCGTCCTGGACTCCCTGCGTCACCAACCTCAACGGGTTCGTCTCTGCTTTTTTATTCTCAATAGAGACAGAAACCACCATCGGTTATGGCTACCGGGTCATCACGGACAAGTGCCCAGAGGGGATTATCCTCCTCTTAGTCCAGTCGGTGTTGGGGTCCATTGTCAATGCATTCATGGTGGGATGCATGTTTGTCAAAATATCGCAACCCAAGAAGAGGGCAGAGACCCTGGTGTTCTCCACCCACGCGGTGATCTCCATGCGGGACGGGAAGCTGTGCCTGATGTTTCGCGTCGGGGACCTCAGGAATTCCCACATCGTGGAGGCCTCCATCCGAGCCAAGCTGATCAAATCCAAACAGACCTCAGAGGGGGAGTTCATCCCCTTGAACCAGACAGACATCAACGTCGGGTATTACACCGGGGACGACCGGCTGTTCCTGGTGTCGCCTCTCATCATCAGCCACGAAATCAACCAACAGAGTCCTTTCTGGGAAATCTCCAAAGCCCAGCTGCCCAAAGAGGAGCTGGAGATCGTGGTCATCCTGGAAGGGATGGTGGAAGCCACAGGTAAGGCCTGCTCGGTCCTGGGGTGCCTGTGGGACCCAGGCTCCTTTCAACCGGGTCTCACATTCTTATTTATGGGAAAGCTGCACCGCACTCACTGTTGACACCGCCCCTCACTTCATGACGTAGTATGCCCATGTAGCTTATCCCCTCAAGTCTACCCACCAAGAAGGCTAGCCGTCGCTTTTTAAAAGGCCTTTAGAAACAAATTAATAAACAAGTGTTTTAAAAACACTGCTTAATATATGTTAAATTTCCAAGTATTTACATAAGTTAAAATTTCTTGCTAAAGTACCTTTTAAATGGCGCTGAAACATGGTCAATTTAAATACTTGGGGTTATTTATTGCCTCGCCAGGAGGAAGACGGGAAGGCTTTCAGAGGAAGCCTGACAAATCGCTTTAATAAAAATGCAATTTCCCCTCTTCTTTGGGAGCTATTTGCAAGGCCCATAGCGTTGTTTTATGTCGAGTGAGTGCTGGGCGTCTATCTCCATAGTCTACCTGCTGAACCCCTGGCAGACACAATCCTGCAGCCCCAGTAAATAGCTCCAGCAGGAAAGCAAAAAGCCGAAGATCCATTCATCGCAACCCCATTGACCTCTCATTGGTGTGCTTTAGGGAAGATCATCTGCTCTCAGAATAGAGAGCTGGTCTGCTTTTATTGAAGTCTTCACTCATATCTGAACTTTACAGGTATTATTCATCCCACCAGCAAAACAGGTTCTTCCCGTATTTATCTGTAACTGTCCACAAAACAGAGCCGTAAACTCTGACCTAAGCTAGCAGTGGTGTCCTCCAGAAATCATATAAACTAGAACCCTAACTCATCAATTTCTTTACTGTTCTTCTGAGCATCGATAGTAGCCTTGGAATCCTGTTTAGTTATGCAATCTGCCCTTCTCTGTGCTTGGAAGTCTTCAACTGGAGGCTCGGGGTTGGTTTATCTCATCTGAAAATACATGGCCCACAGATAGGCCCCAGATTCCTCATCAACCCCTAAGCTGACCTCTGTCATCCCTTCAAAAGAAAGTCCTTGGTCCCGTGTCTCCGCCTGCCTGTGCCCAGCAGGCAAGGTCATACCTCTAGCAAGTTTCTCTCCTGGTGGAAACTTTGCCATCAGTCTGTAAATGCAACCAGCAATGAAAATGTGAGTGGCGGGCCTTGCATGGAGCTCGGTGGTTTGAGTGGGCTCCTTTCCATAGAACTAAAGGAACATGGACCTAATCCGAAAACAGCTGTAAAGAATAGCAAAAGAACGATTGTGGAATACTAAAAGATTGCTACAGATGTGAACAGGGCTATCTGTTACTTTAGCCTGGCTTCGGATGTATTCCTGAAGCCATGGTTGTGTGTTTGGGGGAGTGGAGAGGCAGGAGAGAGGGAGGGAGCAATTTAAACCGGGAGCCCTGTCATTTCCCACAGACCAGAAACTTCTCCCAAGGGGCTGAGCACAGGGACTCTGGATCCCCCTAGTGGTGGCCCCTACGACACAGCCTCTGGCAGCATAAACCAACCACTCATGATGCAATTTGAATATTAGATTTCTCACTATCAACTCTCCCAATAGGACCTGAGGGAGGGCAGTGGATAAGCCTTGTTATCGTGGCATCTCTGAGCTCAAGAAGCAAAAGCCACGGGAAATATGTACTTTCTGGTTAGTGGTGTTCATCTGAGCTTCAAACTGTAGGAGCTGAGCTTCATGCTCGCTCCACCCAAAACTCAATCTCAAAAAAATACATGAACTGGAATAAGCAAATTATCCTGTGATGTCCCTGAGCTGGCATTCTCCCTGGGGCAGGCCCTGTCTTTCTGAGGACAGTTTGTAATGCCTGAACCTTTCTAAAGAGAGGGGCGTCGTCTTCTTGATAATTCACAGTGATGCTTGCCACGGCCTTTCTACTGCTTCCTTGGAGGAAAGGGGGAAGGTGCCAGCAAAAAAAGAAAAGATTCAAAACACCTGCCTTTGTTCCTGGAAAAAGGCAACCCCTATTAATTTTCTATTTAAACAAAAAAAAGTTTTCTAACTTCTGGAAAGTGAAGGGAAGAATGTTCTAGAAAGTCCTGGGCTTGTCTGGAAGCTGGACATGTCTTGTTCCTTTCCTGGTAGGATTCATACAATTAGTGCTTATAGCACATCTGATCTCTTAAGCTTCAGGGGAATGCTTTTCTTTGTGAATGAAAAACACAGTTGGTATTTGTGGGCATTAAACAGATCCTTAGGGGGAAGAAATGCTTCAATGAGTCAAAGTCACAGGAAAAAATTAATATGGATCAAATGCACACTGAGGAAAACAAATTCACAAGGGCCTAATTATTCATTGGAGGGCTGGATGGGACACCAAGAGCCTTGACAACAGTGAGCTGGCACAAAACGGCTTCCGCTCTACTCATTTCTCCTTTCAAAAATGTCTTAGTTGACCTTAAACTACTATCTGTGATCTCAGTTAGCGGGCCTATTTCAAAGACAAGCCCCACATTACAACACTGATGCAGTGCCCTCTCCCTGTCACCCACGTGTGGGCATACGTGGATCAGAACATGGTATTTCTGGAGAGCTGAGCTGCCCTGGGGAAGGCTGGCCACCCGGTCCTTCAGTCAGCTGGGTCCCAGGCTCAGCACAGAACATCTGGCAGATGATTCCAATGCCAGCGGCACTGCAGCAAGCCTTTGCCCAGCACTCAGAGTCAGGCTCATTTTTAGAAAATGAAAGTAAGAACCTTGAGGGTAGGGTGTGCATCTTGCCCAACCCTGGTGCCCTGCAGGTCATGACCCCAGGCCTTCACTCGATGAGTTCTCTGGCCTCATAAAAGGCAGACTCGCATCCACAAAAGACAGACCCACATCCTCAGGGGATGGCTTCAGTCTGGTTCTGCCCAGACTCGGAGAAATGTGTACAGTGACCTCTAAGAACCTTCCAGTCATGTGATTCTATTTTTGAAAGTGAATCAAACCCTGCAAAATTCTGACACCCACCACCCAGACATCTGGGAACTGGCCGTGTCTCATCCCACAAATATATTTTTTAAGGGAGCCCTTTATGTTCCTGACACATGGGTGATTTTGAGATAGTGGTGTTTACAGAAGGGTTCATAGCTACATAAACAAACACGCTCAGCAGCTGTGGCGAATGTGCATTTAAATAGTAAAGCATTCATATGGATGGTTATTTATGGTGGGTAAATTGGCCTAGAGGCTAGATGACAGCCACACAGAGCTGGGCCCGTTGCCAGCCAGCTCCTCACCATAGCCTTTCTGATTGATGAACTTCCATATTTACCCCCAGTGATTATGCAACTATGACAAGCAGCCCTTTCCAACACCTCCGCCAATGTGCTCCATAGATAAATGCCATTAAGCTGGGTTTTTTACACTTTTTATTATGGAAACTATAAAATGTATACAAGAATAGGCCAAATAGTATAACCCACTCCCGTGTACCCATCATTTAATTACTATAATTGTCAATTTATGCCCAAAACTTGTCCCATCTATATCACCACTCACTAACTGCTCCCAGCATCATATTTTATCTGCAAAATTTTCAGTATCTTAAAAGATAAGGACCCCTTTAAAAACATAACTATAACACCATTAGGACCCCAAAAATAATTAATGATCATCTCTTCAGATCTAATATCTAAGTGTTCCAATTTCCAATTGTCTCACAAATGTCTTTTTAAAAAATTTTTTAATCTGCTTGTTTGACTCGGGATGCAAATGAAGTTAACACACTGGTTGGTTGCGATCTCTTTTTAGCCTCTTAATCTATGACTTCCCCTTCCATCCCTGTTTTCTTATTCCTTGAATTTTTTTCTCAAAGAAGAAAACATCTGAAAGATTTAAGTACGGCATGAAAAATTGGGGGAAGTGGAAGTGGGTGGGGAAAACAGGAAGTGTGTGGTGGAAAACCGGAAGTGTGTGGTGGCAAAGTGGAAGTGGGTGATAGTGAATCTGAAGTTGGTGGTAGTGAACCGGAAGTTGGTGGTAGTGAACCGGAAGTTGTTGGTGGCAAACAGGAAGCGGGTGTCAGCAAGCAGTTCTTCACCACTGGAAAGCTCAGTTCCATCGCTAGAATAATATTACCCACATGAAGAAAGTCAGCTCGCAGATCGGGAGGAGTCCTTATTCTTAGCTGAGGAAATGGAGGCCTGGCTAAGGCCCATTGGCCACTGGCAGAGCCGGAAGTGGACACCCAAGGCCACTGGCCGTGGCTCAGCCCTGGGTTTAGTGCCTTTTGCAACTCGAGAGCTGCTGGTCCATGGAGACTCGGTAGAGAGACGCGCCCGAAAGAGACAGCTGGTGTTTCGTGGGCAGACGGACTTTCTTCTCTTCGCCTCCACCGTTAGCTCCTCTTTTGCTGTAAGGTTTCTCTGTTGGTCTCCCATGTTACCGACTCATTTTAAAATTCTTTATGCGTTCCCATGAGTTTTTAAGAGCCGTCTATTAAAAAGAGATAACGCCGCCAAGAAAGTTCTGAAATTGAAATTAGGTAAGCAATGTCTACAAAGATACGCCTGGGAGAACATGCTGCTCTGTCCGCTCTGATTTCCAAGCGCCAGCTTCCCTTTCTGCCATCAAGAAGCCACTCGGCTGTCATGGGGGAGCACCTGAGCCCAGGCAGCTGGACAGTGGCTGCTCGGATAAGGCGGCTGGGGCTTGGCGTCTCAGGACCTTAAGCTGTTTCTAATAGCGATGTTTCATAGCCATTGCCTTCCACAGCCCTTACTTCCTCCTTCTGATAAGTTACTGCTAATCCCTCAAGTGGCAAGCCATTTTCTCCAGATTTACTGCTTTCCTCTTAAGAGTTTATAACCCCAACTACCTGCCTACCTTGGGAAAACAGTTGGTTGATGTGACCTGAATGGTAAGCACTTGGGTAAAAATCACCTCTATGAGGAGGAATGTTTTTAAAAACTCAAAGACGTGAATGCATTTTTCCTACGTAGAAATCTACTATCTGTCAACATCAAGAAATCCAACAGTCCCTTCTTTGGGCATTAGG